GTCAAGGATTACCTGTACAAAAATACAAAAAGCTTCTTTGCTTGCAAAAAGCTGCCCAAAATACCAATCATTAGATTAAAAATACCTGCAAGCCGGAGTTACAAATCAGGGAGGGTGCCAGAGCACCTTGAGGAATTAAAATAGTTAAAATGCAGTGATAATTATCAGCAGCCAACTCTTGCTCATAAAATGAAACCCTTTAGCAGAGAAGCAATTCTTAGATTTAAGCTCTCCAGAAAGAGCACACTCAAGAGAAGCAATTCTTAGATCCATTTGCACCACTTAAAGACGCCAGTTGGTCTTACTCACCTCATAAGATAACCTAAGGAAATCATCCAGATTTAAGGAAAGATCACATGCCCCCCAGAAAGGCAGTAAAAAAAATCAGTGACAAGCTTGCATCCTGCCTCTTGGAAGTACACCCCAAAAGGACAGTGCCAGATACCACTAAAGCAGTGAAGGAAGACGCACTCCCCAGATAGAAAAAGAAACCATGAGTCAGGAAAAAATTCAAACACAATACAAATAATTAAATCACAACAGTAGCTGTTGCTTGTTAAACCAATTACCAGAACAAAGAGACACAGAGAGCTAGCCAGATTTCTCAACCCAGTTTCTTTTCAGAAACAGAATTTAATCTTTTTCCTTGCAAACAAAGCTGAATAGGGAACATTATCCCATCAATAAACACACGATTAAACATCACCAAGAACAGAATTAAACTTCACCAAAAACCAGTTTTAGATCAAAACTCAGAAAGGGTAAATCTAAATTCACATTTGAATGTCAATCTTTCTAGCTAGCCAAGAAGCCTTGCTGAATGTCACTCATCTTGGTTCCTTGTCATTAAAAGCTATTTTTCTGGCAGCTCTGCTTCATGATTCAATTATTTCTTCAAAGTGCTAACTCCAACAGGGGAGTATTTCCTCCCAACAGCAGTGTAAAAATCTTAAAACAAACCCTTCCCCTTTAAGAAAGTCAAGATGTCAGGTTTCCAAGTGAAATGGCTACACATATGTCAATTTCAGGCTCCACACAAGCAAAGTATCAGCAAAGGAAAAAAAAAAACTCCAGAAAAGCTCCAGAGACAGGAAGTCTAGTCCTGACAAGAATGTAATAAGGATTAACGGCGAGGCAGTTTCTGTAAGTTACACCAGAATGTTTCCTTCCTGCCTTCCTTACAGGATTGGGCCAGTAAAGTAGGGAAAAACAAAAGGAGATTTCTTCAAACAACCGGTTCTAGTGAATAGATGCGAACTGGTAGAATCCCACCCTGCACTTTATCATTTCAGACAAGTGGCTGTCCAGTCTTTTCTTAAAAGCCTCCAGAGATGGGGCAACCACAACTTCTGTAGGCAAGCACTTCTGCTATTTAATTGTTCTCACCATTAGGACATTTTTGGTTGCTTCTCTCCTTGCTTTAAAAGTATATTATAAATTTAATATAGTAATCCAATCTCTTTTGACTTATGCCTATACAATGTGGTTTTATTCTGTAGTTAAAATTATTGTGGGTTATTGATGATGTGCATAACCCAAGTCTTTCACCCAGTGGACTAGAATAAAAGGAAGAAAATAAGCCTATTACTTTTAGTTACTTTTAATAACACGTGGTGATAGTGATCTTTATCCTCTCACATCCCATGACAGGTTCAAAAAGTTATATACTCTTTGAAGAGGTTGCAAAACCTATGGTACATAGGCTTTCATTAGGTTTCCCTTATTAAGAGAATACCCCAGTGTAACCATCAGCTGTAGAGAGGTTGGGGAAGAGGATCAATAGATGTCAGAAGTACTTTGGTAAAAAGGCACTGGTTCAGTTGACTTCACAATACTTACAGCTTGAGTCAATTCAACTTTGTGAAATTAATTGCCTAGGATGAGCTGTCTGTTCTTACTGCATGATTTAACGTACATCTGAAAAAGCAAAACAAAACAACAAAAACAAAAAGTTGCTGCTGTTGCATTGTTAGAATAAGATTTCCGGAGAAATTTGTTTTATCACTGAGCCACGGTGGCGCAGTACTGCAGGCCACTTCTGCTGACTGCCAGCTGACTGCAATTTGGCAATTCAAATCTCTCCAGGCTCAAGGTTAATTCAGCCTTCCATCCTTCCGAGATGGGTAAAATGAGGACCCAAATTGTTGGGGGCAATATGCTGACTCTGTAAACTGCTTAGAGAGGGCTGTAAAGCACTGTAAAGTGGTATATAAGTCTAAGTGCTATTGCTATCTTACTATAACAATCCTTTGATTACATTCTGACTGATAAGAGTATTGGGATTTCTTTCTTTCTTTTTTAATAATTAGAATTATAATTCTTTATTGCCCAAGTATGACTGGACACACAAGGAATTTGTCTTGGTGCAAATGCTCTCAGTGTACATAAAAGAAAAGATACATTTGTCAAGAGTCAGAATCATAAGGTACAACACTTAATAGTCGTAGGGTACAATAAGCAATCAAATCATACTAGGAAACAGTCAATATAAATCGTAAGAATACAAGTGACAAAGGTACAGTCGTACAGTCACAAGTGGGAGGGAATGGGTGATAAGGAGTGATGAGAAGATTAATAGTAATAGTAGTGCAGACTTTGTAAATAGTTGGACAGTGTTGAGGGAATTATTTGTTTAGCAGAGTGATGGTGTTCAGGAAAAAACATGGAGTCATGCAAGCATTTTCCTAACATTAGGAAAAACTGTTAAAATAATTTTTAATAAGTTTAAATAAGTCTATTCATTACTCATTACAATGATTCAAGTAATTTTCATCCTCACAGATTTCAAAGATCTTTATAGTCTTTAACAATTACTTAGGCTAGTGCTGCTTGGTGTAAATTAAAACACAGTGTATTCATACATGGTAATCATTAATTGTATTAAAAATGGGGCAATATCACAGGTTGAATTTGTCCCAGAATTGCCTTTCATTTGCATTGTATTATGGGAGCAACTGTACAAAATTGTTCAAGGTTATCCCAATGAAAATGCGAGTCAGTGCTTGCTGTTCCATGTAGAATATGATTTGATGCATTTCCATTTTGGCACATTGCTGAAAATTCTTATGCTAGACTCTTTCCTTTATCAAACCAAAATACAGTACTATCAGCAACTGTAGTTGTGTGAGTAATTGAGCAGGTGTTCCAAGGATATAAATTTCTCAGTTGGAAAAGAAACTTTAGGAGTCGGCAGTAAAAGCTTATTGGAAGGCCGTGGCAATCTAACTAGAAGATTTCATATCATTCTTGGAGAATCTTTATAGAAAAGAATTAGTTGGACTGGGACACAAGAAACTAAGGCAGAAGCCATAGCCATTTGGTACTAAGGAAACTCCACAGAAATGAATGGGATCATTTCCTGTATGTCTCTCTGTGTGTGTTTTGAAAAAAGTCAAGGAGTCATCCTATAAATGCACTATCAGAGTCTTACTTCCCTTTTACATACACAGCAGAAGTGGTATTCAGCAGGTTCTGACTAGTTCTGGAGAACCGGTAGCAGAAATTTTGAGTAGTTCAGAGAACCAGCAAATACCACCTCTGACTGGAGTCTTTACAGTATCCTTCCCCTGCCAAGCCCACCAAGCCACGCCCACAGAACCGGTAGTAAAAAAACTTGAATCCCACCACAGATACATAGGGTTTGACCATGTGGTTAAAGAGATAACTCAACATTTTTGTCCCATCCCCAATACACACTTGAAATCAGATAAAAAGGTCAATACTAATTAATTTGAAATATGGAAAATTGCAATAGTTGAAGGTATTTCAGTAATACTCCTTTACACATTTGTGCATTTCAAACATCATAAGCATTGATGATGCAACTCTAGTGCATTGAAAATCATTACTGAAGTCAGCTCTGCACCTTTCAGGTTCCAAATACATTTTTATAACAAAAGTATTTAAAAGTAGAATCCCAATTAGTGAATCTATTATTTGCAAATCTTGTCTTTACCAGAATGTAGACTAGTGATAACTTTTACATTATGGTATAAATTTAGAGCATTGTACATTCATGAACTGTCACCTCTATCAAATCTATTCAGCTATTCAGTGTGGGAAAACCCAATGAATCTTCAAATGGATTCAGAGTCATCTCGATTCAGTTCAATGCATTAAATGCATCTGCTCATTCAAATTTGGCAAATATTATTCAAAGGGGCTTTGGTTATCTTTTTCTGAGAAAACTCACATAACTTGAAAAAGTCACGTGACTTGAATTTATTGGGCAGTATCTTTGTAGTACTTTTTTCTCTTCTTTTGCCTCCAGAAAGTGACGATACTTCATCACGCTTGCTTGCTTCTCTCCCATGATTAAATGATTTCATTGAGATCAACAAGTTCTGTTACAGATGAAATTGGGTTCTAGGTTATTTTAATATTGATATATATGAAAGTATAGTCAGTTGAAACACATATATTATCAATGCATGATATAAAAAGAATAATAATTGATTCCACTATTGTGTGAAAATTTCATGTGTAGAACACTTGTGAAAAACCATCAAAGTCTGAAAACTGAATATGTTGATAATTCCATTTGTACATGTTCTCTTATTCATTGTTTTTTATTTTTTTTATGGGCACTTCTGTACATCATCTGAGGGTCCATATGCTAAACTGTATGGGTAAAGGAAGGGCTGCAGCTTGTGTCAACACATTGCATGCAAATCCATAGTTTGGTCTGCTGAAAATCCAGCCATACTTGGGAAACCCTTGCTTCAACCATTGGAGAATCATTGGCAGTTAGTGTAAACAAAACTGAGACAGATGAGTAAGAGGTGACATTCTACTGTTATCTTCTTAGAATCCAATTCTGCTTGAATGGCCAAAGTGCTAAGTTAATTGGTTCATACTACAGCTACATAGAGAAAGGAATTAGAAATTTTAGTAGAGGATCCAGGAGGTGTTAACTCAAATTATTTTTAATAGTCTTATTATAATTACTTTATATTGAGTGTTAATAGCAGACATAGATGGACTTTTCACTATTATTTCAGGCTCACCCTTGGTTTTATGATCAGCTGTGCATTTCTATCGATGTGGCTTAGCAACACTTCTACTGCTGCTATGGTAATGCCAATTGTAGAGGCGGTGGCTCAGCAAATCACTAGTGCAGAAGCTGAAGTAGATGCAATGGATATGACATATGCAAATGGAACCACTAATCCTGCCCTGGAACTTGAAGGTAAGTAATTTCAACCCATTTTTAACTTCATTTGGAGAAAGTTCACTTGAGCAAAACAAAAACAAAAAACAACCCCTTCATTTGAACTTTTTGTTTTTGTTTTCACAGAAAACATTAGTGAGTGTGAAACAGCTGACTGGAAATCCACTAAAGTTGAAGGGTAATATAAATAGAGAAAGAGGAAGATATTTATATGGTTTACCATTTTTATTAGCACTAAAATTATTACTACTGCAAATATTTCTTTCCAGATACAGCAATGGCACTGCTCAAGCTGTGTGTGATATTGAAAATGAAAAGGTACTTAAAATAATTTATCCTACTTGTTTTAAAAATTATAATAGCTATTACAGTCAGATTAACATGTTATGGTTTCAGTTATATAGTCAATTGAATAATATTATATAATTATTAATACGAAGCAGTGTGCCATCTACAATGTTTCCCCGATTTTCCAGATAAGTTAAAACATGCAGGTGGCCCGTGGTTCCAATTCCAAAGTAATATGCATTTTAGGACAAAGGATAACATCTCAAAGTCATGTTTAAAAATTCAGCTTCCTCAGAAGTTGGGGCATTTTATTTATTCCTAATTATTATTTATTACATGTATATGCTGCTCACCTCACAGTTTCAGATGATTCCAAATGACTTACAATATAAAACATATTAAAAAAATACAAATATAAAAAGATTAAAATTACAAAAAGTTATGGCTAACTAAAAAAAAAAAACTAAGGGTTTGGAGCAGAGAAGTGGTGGTGCTTTCTCTACTAGTGCACCAGCCACTCCAGCCAACAGATTTCTCTTTGAGGGCTAAGTGCCTATTGGTATAGCCAAGGATTAAGGCATTTCCTGAAGGCCAGAAGATGCAGCATGATGTTCCAAAGGGAGGATGGGACATGGCAGAAGAAGCTCTTCTCCCGAACTCTGCCAGATGCAATTCCTTGGCTGACAGGCCAACTTACGTGGGGTGGGCCAATCCCATTGGGGAAAGACAGCTCCTCAGATACTCTGGATCCATGCCATAGAGGGATTTAAACTGACACCTTGAATTGGATCCAGATTGGATCCAGCCAGTGCAACATGTTGCCCTCCACAAACAGCACCATTGAACTACTGTTCTTAACAATTTTCACAGAGTCTCTACATCAGATACAATAGCAGACTTCCTGGAGTTGATGTAGTATATAGTTCAACATACCTGAAATGCAATAATTTGCTGTTTTGTTGTTGTTGCTGCTGCTGTTGTTGTTTTTGAGGTCTGCTTCTTCACTTCTGCATTTCAGCTATTAATGGATTTTTCCAGTTCCTATGTCAGCTTCCTGTAGTAGCATCTTATCTGCTATTCATATTCTGCTACTATACCATGATTTCACTCTGTTGTCTAATTCTAATTCACTTTTGTCTAACTCTAATTAATCTTCAATTTAATCCTGGCCCAGCTCTATTATTCTTGCAAGAAGGAGTATCAAAATTTACTTCAAACACCTGTAAAATGGTGATTCGCGAATCTTTATATGAAGACAAGGATTTTTTTTTTCAGTTAATCAGCTAATTCAAATCACAGAAATAATTAATACAAACAAAATCAGTAGCAGGTCAGCTACAGTATAATTCAAGGTTTGGATGTGAGATGAGTATGAAATTTATTCTATCCTAATGATTAATTTCTATTTATCCTATTTCTAGCGGGATGTTGTATTTTGACATATGTACTGTACTGATTATAATGGCAAATTTCCAATTTCCTCTAGCTGCTGTGCATGCTTTAACTTGTTTGATTTGAATTGTCTTTTTCTCTTTAAAAATATGGAAGTAATTTAATCAATCAGTAGGGAGATAGTAGACATTTGGCAATACTTTCCTATTAAAATGCATTTTCCATGATTTTCAAAGGAAACAGAGAGGCATTTCCACTCTAGTTTGACCATTTCATCTAGCTGTTAATATACTGAGATTTGAATTACTGGGAAAATTGTGAATTATTAACTTATTATTTGAAAATGAAAATTATGAGCTTGTAGCGAAAGCTACTATATAAAAGACTTTTCACCGTGCAAAGACATTTGAGTATCATCAGACCTTTTATACTTGGCTAATTTAACATTTTTAGAGTTCATATTGAGAATGAAGGGCTTAAATGTAATCAAAAGGGAAACTAGAAACTTAGGGATAGGACTTGATTTTTGCATGTTCTGCAGCTATCTTTTTTTTTTCTCTTTATTGAAAGAACAGTTAGGGAAAATGGAAGAGTTACTTCATTCTGGATATTCCTAAACTCTGAAGAATTTTCAGGAAAAAAAAAAGATTAACCATTTAACTAAAGAAGGCTGGTTTTAATAGGCTAATATGAAAATTGTTGATTCTATTTATTTGACTTCTCTTTAAGCAGAATTCAGAACTGAGCCAGTCTGAAAGACAGTACCGGAACAAAAAAGACCACATGATATGTAAAATCATGTGCTTGTGTGTTGCCTATTCATCCACTATTGGAGGATTGACTACCATCACTGGGACATCAACCAACTTAATATTTGCAGAACAATTCAATACGTAAGAAAATCAATTAACATGTTTTGTTCCTAAATTTAAATAATTTAAATTCTGCTCTTCTATCCATTTAGGTTAATTTGTGTCAGTGCAGTGCTTTCCAATAATTTTACATTTCTCCATTTGGATGTTAATGCTAATGAGAGATCCTCCATCACAAAACTCCGGTTTTATAGGGAAGAAGTCAGCAAAAGTGTTTTCTTCACTGTTGTATCCCTGTTGTATCCCTGCTAACCAAGCAGAAGGCTTGAGCCCTGTATTCAAATGTGGAGCTCTTCACTTGCCCAAAGCTGTTTCTATTGGGAAATGCTCTTTCTTAATCCTTTTTGCATCCCTGGTCATACCCAGAGTTTACCACATTATAATGTATTTAGCTAATTCAAAAGACCTTCCTGTCAGATCATATACATCCCCAATAGAATAATTATCCATTTAAGTAATTTACTTTACCCTGCTCTTGTACATTAAGTGCCTGTATCATATTACCTTTTTTATCCAATTATGGCAAAATTAATTACTGTTTAAATGAACCGCAGTCATTATTTAGGTGTTTCTAAGTACTCGAGGCATAATTTCTTTGCTCATTATGATGTCTGTGGGAAGGAATGCTCAACTTCATTTCATATTAAGAACAGCAGCCCTTCATAATTTTCTTCCAGTTCTTTAAATGTTTGACTGCTTAGATTACACTCTATACAAATAGGAGATAAATTATTACCGCCAGGGCTAGCAGCCATAGAAGATTCTATGTATTTATGAATAAATACATAGTGTAAGAGATGTAAAGGGCATTACACAATTCAGAATGACAGAATAATAAATCTGTAATCTTGGTTGAAATAATTATTTGTCAAATTGGCTACTATTCCTTCCCTCCTCCTCCTCCTTATTTTTTATTAATACATTTGAAAATGCTGGAGCATTTTCAAAAATATTTCCTAAATGATTTTGGCCTCATGAAATGTTATCCATAGGTAAAGCTTTGTGGTGAATAATTTGAATTCACACATAGTACACAAACTGCAATATTTTCCTTGATATGGATAACAATCATGAACATTCTGTCACTTTCACTCTGCATTGCAGGGATTTTTAATCTGTTCAATGATTTCCAATTGCCAGGAATATTGTCCATCTGCTACATGTAATTCATTCAAAGTTGCATCACTGCAAATCGAATTTTACACAGAAGAATATATGAACTTCAAAGCAATAAAAGAAAAGCTTACATATGATCAAATAAGCCAAGACACAAACATTTTAAAATCTTGTTGAATAGAAAGCAAGGGACCATAACAAAATCTATATCTCCTCTAATTCCTTTTGTGCATTTGTCTTGATCACTGGGAATGGCTTGTGCATATTCCATTCATATTAATTCCTAACAAAAATAGAATTTGTGTTGCATATGCTAAGTAGGAATGGCTGCAAAAATGTATTAATATATGATATAGCATTATGACATTGGCTTTGTAGGGACTCTAGGATAATTGTTACAGCAGTTTACAATGCTACTGTTTACGCTGGAGACAGACAGACAGGCAGACAATTTTTCAAAGAATGAAATGTTAAAGGATAAACAAAAATAGAAAAGGGAAAGGGCTCAGAAAAGATTGTCCCAGAGATGCTTTTCCAAAAGGCAACGGGACTTTCTTCATTTTTTCTTCTAGAAGACATTTCACTTCTCATCCAAGAAGCATCTTCAGCTCTGACTGATTTTCCAGTAATGGACTCTTTCCAAACAGAAATTAGATTTTCCAGTTTTTTCTTTTATCAAGGTTGTCTTTTTTACCATCTCCACCAACCATCAACATCAACATCCATCCTCCCCTGTAGGTTTTTGTAAATCTTCCACCTTAGAGCATATAAAGTTCTCCCTGCTATGATCATATATAAAAGCAAAGTTCCATTAGACGTTTTCAAGGAGACGTATGCTGGACATATTAATTGGTTCATAAAAGTTATTAAATAACTGGGTGCTTTTTCTGGCCTGGTTTTCCCATATGTCTTAGTCTTCTAACTCTTGCTTTAAAAAGAAAGTTCAAAAAACGGGGAGGGATACAAGGAACTAAGGAATAAATCCCTTTCTTTTAATATATTCCTTTTGCCCGTTCCTTTCTCTCTGAGCCTGTAATAATTAAGAATGCAGATTTGCCTTGTTGGAAGCAGGGAAGGGCAGAAAAATGAATGCAAACGGCTACTGCTTTCTCGCCTCATAATTTAAGATGCCTGCACATTCCTGGGATAGCAACCAAGCCCACAGCCTATAGAGCAGGCTCTAATAAATAGCTTGAGTAAACAGGTAGTTCTAAGGAAAATTGATTCTGGGCAAAAAGCAGAAGACGGAGAGCTGTGGAATTAGAAGTAGGTGAGTCAAGAAAGCATGCAGAAAGGTAATGAACTGAGCAGCTGCACAGCAGAGGGAAAATGAGTGCCAAGGAAAAAGAAATATCATTACTAAGCTGCATTAATATCTTCAGACTTTATAGCGCTCCAGGATACAGCTGGTCTTCTCAGTTCCAGTTAGGTATGATATAGCTTTCCTTTCCTTACTGGAGGTGAGTTGTGGAGAGGGAGGGAGAAGCACGTCCTTCTTTTGAAACTTAAATAACCTAAACTCCTAAGAACATTGTTAAGATAGTAAAAACCCCGCAGAGAGGTCGTCTTATATCTAGGCTAGTCCTGATAGAGCAATTTTGTCATTGCTGTTATACATCAGTAGCTGTTCCTTAATGAAAATGACAGTGCATGACAATAGCCATGAAAGAAAGTCAAGAAGGGAGGGAGTTGTTCAAAGACTAGATTCCAACTCTCTTTCATATCACTGTCTGCAATAGTCCAAGTCCCTAAGGGCAAAAGATAGGCTCTTTTGAGCCTGTGAATTTATTAGCGAAAATTGGCTGAGCAAGTAGTTTGTTCAAGTAGGTACGCTAATAATGGTTACGTAATCCATTGGAAGGCTTTGCTTTGTTTGGGCAGTTGAACTTGGTCCTTTTCTATTTAGGCCTGTTTCTTATATTTTAAGAATACATATTTTGAGATGCAGATTCACTTCAGATTAGCCATATTTCCTTATAATTTCATGCTACAATCTTGGCATAATAATGTGCACAATCTTTCCGTCGGTTGAGACAAAAGAGGAAGTTTGGAATGGCTTGTCTTCAGAAGTTGTGGGTGCTCCATCGCTAGAGGCTTTTAAAGAAGAGACTGGACAGCCACTTCTCTGGAATGGTATAGGGTCTCCTGCTTCAGCAGGGAGTTGACTAAAAGTCCTCCAAGATCCTTCCAATTCTGTTATTCTGTTAAGTATTCTCTTAAGTATTTATTGTTTGTTGGTTTAATTATTTTCTTTATCCTACTGCAATCAGATGACTTTTAGCACTTTTAACTCATCATCATTTTGAAATGCTCCTCATAATCCTAGATAACAAACCAGGATTAAAACAGAGTACAGTATTGCCTTCACAAATATTATTTTGTGTGGGTGGATTTAATCATAATGCCATGTTTCCAAACAAACTCTTTTTATTTACTAATCCTTGTGAAGCCAGGAGTCAAGCAAGAATGAATTGACTGCTTCCATGCTGATTATTCACAGTCCAGTTGAACAGACCATAATTCCTGGCTCACAGTGATACATAACTTTGGCTAATCTAATAATGTCATTTTTCTCAATCTAGAATAATTCTCACAGAATTATTCACTCACAGAAGAGTGCGTTTTTTTAAAAAACAATGTCTTGAAAACTTTAAGCTTTTGCAACAATTTGTGCACATGAAATCTGTCTAGTCTCTGAGGTATTTTCTCATTAGTCGTTTTAGCATCTTCTAGTACCATTCGGCTGCCTTTGAGGGAATAGAAACCCTGCCTGCTATATTGTTAAATTGACACAGCAATGGTTGCAGGACTTTAGAAGTTTCTGTAAGTGATGACTGCGATATAAAGACATATTTCAGAACATATGCCAAATGCTATCTGGAAGTTTTTCAGAGTACCTTTATCATTTCAGAAAATAAGTTTCATTTTTTTTCTAACCATAGATAGTGTATACTAAAAATCTATCCAGATGATCCTTCTTGAAGATCATAAATGATTGGTTGTTATCAGTTGAGGGAAAAAAAAAGTAAAACTAGATATTTATTTCTAGTGAGAACTGGGTTTTTGTCAGGATCCTTGTCTCAAAATCATTCACATCATCTTGGAAAATGAAGGTGGCTTGGTCTGAAGCAATGAATAGATAAATAGTTTGCTTCTTGAACTTTGGAATGATTTTGTTTGATGCATTTTTATAAAACTTTTCTCCATTTCTCCATAAATTAAAAAAAAAAATCAGGCAGAAAAGAGAAAGCATTGTTCTATGCTGAAAACTTTAACTTCCAATCAGGATGATTATATGGTTATTACATCATACAGTGGTTGAAGGTATAGTAAAAACTATGCTTTTTTTTCAGAAATGTAGAAGCCCTTTCCTACACTGTTATATTCATTCAAATTGCTTCTAGAACTCTAAGAAAGGCAGCCAAATTATTTTGTTTTGTTTTTAATTTTTGGGCTTTAAACCTGCTGCCATACAATCCTGCCTGAAATCCTTCCTATCAGAATCACTAAACGTTATTCAGTTCTGTCTCAATTTACAAAAAGTGATAGATATTTGTTGAGACCCATTTGTACAAACAGCCCTACTCCAACACTTCAAAAGCATCCAAGGCTTCTGAAGGCATGAAAATGTCCTGATGAAGTATGACATCAGCAGACAAATCTAAGTTAATAAGAGAAATTCAGAATCCTGTACTACTACCCCCCTATAATTAGAACCAAAAGTTGAAATATATATATATATATATATATATTTGTTGATATGACCAGTGTAGACTCCTGATGACAAAATGGATAGGATCATGCAATTTTCTTGAAGTATTTTGTCAAAATCTTCTGGAAGATTTTTGACAAAATACTTGGAGAAAATCAATCTTCTTCTGGAAGATTTTTCAACTTTCTAATTTAAGGTTGAGGAAGATTGATTGGGTCAATGTCATGAAGTTGGCTTTAAGCCCAAGGTAAGATAGAAATCTACCCACTTCAAGTCTAGCACCTTTAATCACTCTATCACTCTGATTCTCATCTAGTGTGCACTTGATCTTTTCTATTGCAACAGAATTCATCACCATGGCTGCCCAGAGCATTTTGTCTTATCAGATAAAATTAATTAGTTTAATGGTCTCAAGGAAATAACATGCAACTTGTCCTCAACTTATGATCACAATTGAGCCCAAAATTTCTGCTGCTAAGTTGAACATTTGTTAGGTGAATTTTGACCCATTTTATCAGTTTTCTTGTCCCAATTATATTAAGTTAGTAATATAGTTAAGTGAATCTGGATTTCCCATTGCTTGTCAGAAGGTCACAAAAGGTGATCATATGACCCCAGGACACTGCAACCATCATAAATATGAGCCATGTGACCATCAGGATGCTGCAAATGTTGTGTGAAAACTGTCATAAGTGAATATTCTCAATGCCATTGTAACTTTGAACGGTCACTAAATAAACTGTTGTAAGTCGAAGAGTACATGTAAAGTTTCGATAGAACAGCTAATACAATAAGAAGGTGTTACCTTTCTTAATTTATAGCTGTCAAATAAGGACTGAATCTTTTGTTCCAAAAAGAGTTTAATAAAAATCATCCAAAACTTTTCAGATGATGAAACAAATATATATCTGCATTTGTTAAGCTACTGATTGTTGGAGTTCAGGGGGTCTTAATTACTGTGCTGAGAAGATCATATGAGACTTACCCTGAATAAGATATTAAAGCTTTGTCTACAATTATGCTTGCTGGCCAAAGATCCGTGTAATTCAATATTTGGAACTTCCAGGGCTGAAGATGATGGATTTCTATTGAAAGATCTTTTCTTGTATTTTTCCCCTCATATACATTAATCAACACAACTAACAATGATTACTGTAAAAAAATTAATAGAATACCATTTCCACTATAAAGTATGTTGATAACAGATAAAACCCATCTTCATATAAAGTGTTATCTAGAAGAATTTTAATTAACTGATAGAAGACAATTTAAAAAGAAATCATCTCTGCTTCAATGACTGGAGCATTCTAAAATACTTCAATCCACCATGCGTTGGCCAATTGGTACAAGACTCTAAACTGCTGATAGTAAATACTCCATTTTTAGTTCCTGGAGAGTCATTATCTATTAAGATGAAAGCTGGATAGATTTTATATTAAGGTTTATCATTTGTGTAGCCATTGTGGATCTTGGTTTAAGAAACATCTTTCTATTCATACTCAAAGCCAATTCAAATTTCATTTCTATTTTTTTCAGACGATATCCTGGTTGCCAATGCATTAATTTTGGATCCTGGTTTATTCTTTGCATACCAATCACTGTTATTATTTTAATACTCTCCTGGGTTTGGCTTCTGTGGCTTTTTTTGGGTTTCAAGTAAGTACTCTTATGAGCAAAGAATCCAAAGTATCGTTTTGTGTAAGGATGTGTTTACAATGAGTAAAAATAACAAATCCTTGCCCCCAAGGAGTATATGTACAAGATAAATATAAGAAAACAATAGAGGAAAAAGAAAAACGAAGGCATAGAAAAGCTAAGGAAAATACGTATTTTTCTTATATATCTTTCTGCTCAGCTACAATTCTGAATGTAGTGGATAGAGTATGCTTCAGTGAAGGCAAATAGCTTGAGGGTTCAAGAAAAAAATAATGTGGATTATATTATCTTGATATGCAATTGGAAAATTAGAATGCAAAGCAGAGTGGGGAAATCAGCACTAGCCCTGCTATTAGGAAAAGTGTGACAACTGATTCAGGCAGTATGCTACACCAAAGAACAGTAGTAAAGTATTGGAGCTAAGTATTATAAATGGAAACCATCCTGCCCAGTGATCTAATAGCTGCCTTGCTGCATAGCTAAGATAGAGGGTCCATTATTCACATTGAAGTAAGATTGCTCTCCCAGGCAGGTCAGTTTTTGTATATGCTATTGTGGCATTCTCTTGTTTGGGATCTCACACAACACATTATGTTGGACTTGGACTGCCCATGAGATCTTTCCAAGGAAGAAAGCCAACCCAGTCCTCGAGAAGTTCTTTGGATCAGTCAACAGAAGTAGAACCTATCTTCTGGTGAACAGGTATTATAACAAGTTATATCAATTCACTTTTCATTTCAGCTTGAAAGAAATGTTCCAATGTGGCAAGGCAAAGTCACCTAGAGAACAAGCTTCGGCACAAGTAATCAAAGAAGAATACAAGAAACTTGGATCAATAAGGTAAATGCAACAAATGCATTTGGCTAATCTACGGAAGAAATATTACAAATGCTATCAAAGAAATATTACAATACTATCAAAGTGAATCACTTCAAAGGGTGATGGTCAATACATGGTGTTTTTGTTGCAGCTACCCTGAAGTTGTCACCCTTGTCTTGTTCATTCTGATGGCCCTGTTATGGTTTACTAGAGATCCTGGATTCATCCCTGGCTGGTCTTCTTTATTTCCAAAGTAAGTCAATAAGCCATCCTGCACAATAATTAGAAGGTTCTATATTTTTATATATGGATAAATCCGGATCATAATACCAAATATTTTTGCAAACATCTATTAGAATGTGTAGGGGAAGGATCAATGCCTTTTTAAAAAAACAACAACACATTTCTCCCTGGTTTTCAGAATGCCACCAGCATCATAGAAGTTGTGCTTGTTATCGATCTTTCTAAAAATATACAAAGACAAGAGCCAGGGAAAGGTGATGGTTAAGTGTTAGGCTAGAAGTGGAAGGAATGAAATTCTAACATTTTATTCCACTACCAAAAATGATTGAATGAATCAAGTTATGTATATGCTAAAATATTGTAGGAATCTGGATAGCTGACACTTTAGCTATGTCTGTTTAGGTCATTTTCATCCAACTAATCTTGCATCTAGAGTGGGATATCCAGTTTGCTTAACTCAACTTGAAGAATCACTATCTTTTGGTTTTTTTAAAAAAAAAAGCTGGAGGTGTTCAATAAACATTACATAAGAGTCATTTTTTTTACCTGAAATATAATCATACTTTCTTACGTTTTTATTTTTCTCTGTTAGATTTTCACCACAGTTATAATTTTTTTTTAACCATTCTGAATATCCATTATATTCTGCTTCTGGCATGAAATTTCATGCGAAAACTCAGAATCCATTCAGGTGTTTGGCTGATTCATATATGCTACTAAATTTGAAGTTTTTTTTTTTATGTGTGTGTGTATACACATAAAATATTCTTTGCAGATTTTATTTTCAAACATTATTTACATTTAGTTCCAGGAAATTTCCATGGCAACACATACGATTATAAGAACCCCATACAGAATAGTTCATGTGAGGTTTACCATTAGTTTTTCTTTATAGACACTACAGAATACCTCATTATCCAAGAATATGTTTTACATATTTTATGCCACAATACCTAAAGGGAAGCTGGGCAGCCTTTAGTCCTAAAGAGCTCTGGTTATGCTAAAATAGGGCTACTAAGAGAGTTGTCAAAGTCTTGCTATCGTTTTAAAAGCTTCCGTGTATTTGCTGAGATTTTTTATCTCTGTCAGATATGACAGAGAATTCAGAAGAATTCAATAAAGTAGAGGCATCTTGTTTCTGTTACATCTTAAACTATTTAGTTACTTCTTTAATCTTCAGTGTCTGCTCTGAGTTTGGTCTCTTTGTTTCTTGTTGACAAGAAGAATTTGCATTTTTTTCTGCCTCTGATTGGTTAGTTGTGAAGAATCCCTTTGTAGCTAGATTTTGGCAAAACAAAAAGAAAGAAAAGAAAAACGTGGAACTTTTCAATTCAGAGGATGCACTCAGAGTCAACTCAAACTAGGCTCATATAATCCTATAGATTTTCTTCTGCCAGGGAGGATTTTTCTGGGATGTTTGCCAGAAGCTATCGCCTTTTTATAGTTACTGACAATACCTTTTTTTACAATTCCTTTTTAAAAAGCTTTACTAAATAATGATGCTTCTTTTACATGAGGTTTTTTATAGTTTATGACAGATGAAAATATAATACTGAAAGGTTTTTTTATAACACTGCTTTTTTAATTAAAAAATATGACAGAAAGATAATTAAAAAAAAACAAATATAGAAGGAAGGAACAAGCAAACCATAATCTTACATAATATTCACATAATTTTGTAAACAAATCACATGAAATATTTCTCTATCTTTTCATTATGAAAAACACCCACTTAAAAAAACCAAATTATACATCTTTGCTAGCTTTATCTTTACCTATTGAGCAGAAATATTTTTCACTCCTTCCTAACCTTAAGAAATCTATAATTCATATATCAATAGATCTATATTTTTAATTTATAATAAAAAATACATTCACTTCCTCAAAATTTTCTGGTGTCCCCATATTAACAATCATATGGATTACAACCCCAAACAGAACATTAATAGAACAAACCCATGTCATTTGCACGTGTCCTTGTACTTTTAAGTTAATGAAATTAAGCTAGCCTTTTTAAAGTATTCTCAGGCTAGTCCAATAACCAAGAACAAGAAGATTTTGTTGAATTAATCTTATTTTAAGATCATAGGAAATATGCTTACAATTTTAAATCCCTTTGTCATTGACTCACAAATATAAGGTGCCTCAACTCTCTATACAAAATAATTATTTGCAGAAATTAATATATAACATTTAAAAATGTGGTGAGTTTTAAATTATCTAAATTATTTATATAATATAGTAGTAATACAGGAATTTTAAATATTGCCAACACATCCAGGTCTATTGCAATATCAAGAGATATTTTAGTCATATAGAAACCTTTTTTGTTTTAGGCAATCAAAATTCAATCTGTAGTGATACAAGTAGTTTGAAAAATTGATTGGTAATAAATTAATCTAAAGTATTAATAGCTAAATTGTCCAAGATTGTAACAACAATACCAGCTTTATGTGCTATTTTCAAACAGGGAACTAGAGGTATAAGGATGGTCATATGGGCAGTGTTAATAGATGTGTTGTCTTCTGCAATACAAATGTTATTTATCACCTGAAAAAGTCTTTGTGAAATAGCACCTATTTATTTGAGGGACTGCCTGTCTCCATTTGTTTCTACCCATCTGGTTTGGTTGGGCAGAGTGAGGTTGCTCCAGCTCTCATTATTTTAGAGTCATTTTCTGGGTCGAGGAAGTATGCCTTCTGTCACAGACTCACAGTGCCTGCCTCTGGAGTGCTGGATGGTTCAAGTAGGTAGTAAAGATCTACCAGACTCTGGAGCAGAATGACGATTGAGCCTATTGGTGGAATTTCTGTTAGATGTTGTTGTTTTGGGGGCCATTTGTGATTCTCTTTTGTGCATGTTGTACTTATTTTTAACTTTTAATTGTAAGCTGCCTAGAATCATTGTGAGTCAGGAAGCCTATACATTGTATAAATAAATGAGTCAAATAAAAGGATCAGAATGTCAGTCAACTGTCTATAATGCAAGAAAAAAACAAACAAAAAGAACTGGGACTAAAAATAGACTTATGCCCCAATCAACATAGCAAAGAAAGCTACACGGTAGTAGAATGCAATTGTGGATTTTATTATGGATTGTGAGGATTGTGCCAATAATGAATAATTTTAAAAAAATATTACCAGCATTTGATAAACAAATTAAAGACAAAATACATGCCCAGTGATAAAGCTGATTTAAGACCCTAGCATCATATGATAACTAAAGTTTAAGAAAATCTAGGAGTCTGTCTTTCCCACAAAAGAAATGTGCTGTAAACAAAGACATTCTTTTTACCTTGGGTTGCTTTTAGCAAATACGTCAAGTTTAAGTAAATTTACCATTTTCTACCTTTTGCTATAAGCTGAACATAATTTTTAACCATCTGTTTACAATGTTGTACATCTGAGGTTTAAAGAAAAAAGGATTTAAAAAGAATATTTGGGAAGATATTGTATTTAAGAGAAATTTGTTTGCAGATATTGAGTGCTGGAAACATTTGAAAAAACTAAGAGTGAATTTTGATACATATGCAGAAATATTTATCAAATTTTAGCAAAAACTTTTTTTGGGAAAAAATGGAATAAGGTGAACTAAACTTCTGAATTAAAGTAAGCAACTACAAGAAAATCATATTGTCAGATTTGCCCATTCTTAAAACGTTGGTAGAGATATTTGTGAAGATGTCAGATATTTAACAAGATATTGTTATTTTGTTAAATATTTTGTGAAACAATCTGTTTTTCTTCCTAGCACAATATCTTTCTACATATATTCACATACCATATGTAAGCATCTATAATTTCTCTAACAAACATTAACAGAATTTGTTGGTGGAAATTCTGGTAGGTGGAAATTCCATATATATTTTCAGGCAGGTCAAAAAACGAACTATACAAATGATTTATTTAAAAGATTGACATTTATAAAATTACATCTGAATTCCTTTAGGCTGCTGTAGTATTACTTCAGAGATAAAAAAAGTCACCAAATTCTTTTCTCAGACTTGTAATATTTATTTTCTAAGTAAATATCTCTTTCCTTAGATATCCAGGCTTTGCTACAGATTCAACAGTGGCTTTATTAATTGGGCTCCTCTTCTTCATTATTCCTGCAAAAAGATTGTCTAGAACTTCAAATGGAGAAAACAGTTGAGTATATTTCCTTGCCCAGTTTTGCTGCAATTGCTTAATTAAAAAAAATATGCAAGCATATACATACATACGTACATACATACATACATATTGGATTCTTCTGAAATTCATTTGACCTAAAAAGTTTACATACAGCTATTTGAATAGGCATACTGCAAATCAAGATCTCCCCTTCCAAGAGAATCCAAATTCAATGGATCAGAAGAAAATACATATCTGAAATAAAGAAACTCACTACCCAAGTTTCTATGACATAAATCATCTATCTACTTTAGGAACTTTGTGTGTTTATACATTAACCTCTGCCCTAAAGTGACTTTTTAAAATTTGTACTTAGTAAAATCTATGTACCCACCCATTGGGCTTTGTAGAAAATTATGTATCGTTTTGTTGGGCAAATGCAGGATTTGAAGTTTACTCAACAGATTTTCTTGTTCTAACTGAGCCAAGAGCCTGGGTGCAGATGTAAATTGTGGAAGTTTGCCATAGGCAATATAATCATCATACGAACGTGATGTGTTATTATAATCCCTGATTGGGGAAGAGAAGGACATGAGGATATGTTAAAAGAAAACAAAACAGTGGTTGAAAATGCTCCAGTGGAGCCATTGCCTTGACTTTTTTTCGTCACCTCCCTACCAACTCCTTCAAGATGTATCTAGGTGAAAATATGTTTAAAATCAAATGGAAGAGATGCCTGCAGTGAGTTTTTCTCTAGTTACTAATATAAAAAAAAACTTTCTGTCTTTTCAGTTGTTTTTGATTACAGTCCACTGATATCTTGGAAGGAATTTCAAGAATGCATGCCCTGGGAAATTGCCATCCTTGTTGGTGGTGGTTTTGCGCTGGCTGATGGCTGTGAGGTAATGCAGGTTTTTACCATTTCATCAGTTTATAAGGTATAGGTAGTTATAAGGGAAATGCAAAGAATGACATGATCTTTCAATGATTTTGTTTTGATGTTACTTGTCTAATGGCAAAATGTTATCCCTGAAATTGTTTGCATTTAGGCACACTAAATTTATTGAAATCAGCAAGAAACATCTGTTGTCTAAACTAATATATGCACAAACTATTTCCCCAAAAAGGCTATCTGTTCCTTATGCTTTATATATATCTTGTGGCCTGTGTTTTGACCTCCAGTCTCTCATAAGAATATCCCAATGGCAATATATTGCAGAATTTTCCAATCCCAGTCATTAAAAGTCTGGGTATGTTGTGCACTCACTCAGATTCATAAATACAATGCTGAGATTTATTGATGTGTTTTTGCAATCAATATAGGCAAAACCTTTAGTAAAGTTCCTCAGACAAACATAATTTTTCCTCATGTAGAGGCTAGACCCCGTTTAGGGACCACAACTGGAATAGGCAACTTGATCATTAAGCAAAGCAGTTGCTAAATAGAACTATACAGTAACTGTACTTACAATCTTGCTTCAGCTTTCCTTTGCTTTGTAGTCACACAAAGGTTGTAAATGCAAGGATTGGTCACAAACTTATGCTTTCCTCATTATCATTACTGCAAATGGCCATTAAATCAGATAGTCACTAATATAGTATATTAACTGTATACTAATACTTATATACTAATATAGTCAGAAACGCACTGTTCTTTAATGTAATAGATCTATCCAAGTTTTTCTGATGATGTGAAAGAACCAAAAATATAGCTATATAATATACTGACCACATTTGAACAATACACCAAACCATTGTTTTTACTAACTACTACATTTTATATGGGCAGGAAAGCTTGTTCATATGCTCAGCTTCACCATTTTAGAAATATGTCTGTGTCTAATGAAAAATTACATAATAGTTTTTGAATAGAGATCAAATTAACAAAATTTTATTGTGCTGTGGTACTTTGAATTTGTAGACCATGGTTTAGGTGCCAACATAAATAAAAAAAATAAAACACACCACAGCTTATAGTATAGTTTCTTTATAAGCATGATATTGCTATCATTGGATGTTAACATCTGTTCTGATACACTAAAATTGTGATCTCAGCAGGCTATGTTGGAACTATATCCAAATCCAATGATAACCAGGTTCTGATATTATTGATAAATTAAAATAAATCCTTATCAATTCAATGTCATGATTATGTTCTAATTACATTATTTCTTCATTTATAAATCAAAATAGGGGCTATTTCAATCTCAAGGGAAAAGGTTGGTTCACTTTACTGCAACAGGAAAAAAATGCTGTAACATTTAGATAGAGGTTTAATCTATGTGCAAGTGTTGGAGAACTACTTGTTAAACTAGAACTATTCTATGTATTAATGCTATAACATATAAATAATTTTATTCTTCATGTGGACTCATTATCATTCTTTCCACTATGCACGACTGAGGTTAAAAAATAGAGGATTTAAACCTAAGCTGTTTGAATCTAAGAGATGATCCAAAACATACTTACCTTGAACATTTCTCCATTGGTACAAGTATATTATTAGGATTGTTCTATAATCCTCCAATTGTTATTTTACAATTTATAAAATGGGCCTCAAGCAAATATTCCCTTTAGCATTTTCACACTCCTCAACATATTTAAGGGTCATCCACACACATCAAGAATCTCTGAAAGAAAGCAGATATGCTTGCAGTTTATCAGATCTGGCGTCTAAGCAGCTGTGGTTATCTATACAAAATGTTACACACTATTGTGTGGCTAAAATATATCCACTCACTCAGGCTGAGCATTCTCTGTGGTATGAATATATTTTGCTAGAAGGAAAAATAAATCATATTGTAGGGATGGATCTCTTTTCTGTTTCTGCTTCCATATTGATCTTTTGGATTAAGAAGCCATTTGGTTAAATTACATTTACATGAATTGTTTAATGAAATTTATGGATAACTAAGCAATTATTGTTTTTTCCAGGACTCAAAACTTTCAGCCTGGATTGGAAGCAAATTAACCCCATTAGGATCACAACCCATATGGCTAATAATTCTCATTTCATCTTTGATCGTGACCACAATAACTGAAGTAGCTAGCAATCCTGCTACAATCACTATATTTTTGCCTATCTTAGCTCCCTTGGTAAGTAATCTGATTTAGGTTTGAAACAGCTGATCTATAGTCGTAGCAGTTAAAGATCACTAAGAGGTTGAATTTAAAACAGGAGTTTTGCAATATGAATTAATGGCAGTAAATGGAGAAACAGAATGATTAGTTATATATGATTACTGAATTCAAGACTACGAGAGTAAAGTATTGTGAATAATTCATAATAGGGTTTTTCTTTGTTAGTTTTGTGAGCTATAACAAGTTTGGAAAGAGAAATAATCAATGTTTATTTGACTCTTAAGCAAAGGCATAATTGAAGCTTAACGTTTTTGCTTCTATAGTATTTCAGAGATGCATTAAGATCACATCTTAAAAGAGTTTTTGAATTATTCATTATATTTATTTATTAAACAAATTTATATGGCTGCTCAACTCACTCACAGTGACTCTGGGTGGTATACAATATTCTACCTATAGAGATATTTCTCTTCTTAGTATCTTTATGTAGTTTTGTCATAATATATAAAATTATCTAATTCCTGTGACAGTCAATAGCTTTGAGATTTTCGTGCTGTTATCCATCCAATTATTATGGAGCTCTGATTGTGCTTAGTTTTTCAGGTCAACTAAGATCAACCAGAGTTTATAATAAATCCATTCTCCTTACAGTTATGATTAATTTACTTCACATTTGTAATAAAATGTACCTATTTAAGAATAAGGAAGCATTTTATATTATGCAAATAGCTAATATATATCACAAACTTATAGGCCTATCATGGATGTTTTGATTAAGGAGTCTTCAACTGGAACAGTAGAGATTTACCTATCTTCATAGCTAGAAACCCTTAAGATTCCCTTTTAGGTTGAGCAATATTATACAAAGTACAGAAAAAAATAAGAAATTATGAGATCATTTATAGATTTTACATTCCAAGTCGCAATCTTCCTTATGGAAGATTAATATGAACAATAGAAGCAATAATGATTATAAAGGTTTGGTTCTATTTTAAACGGTATGTATCATTTAAATTTTCATTTAATAATTACAGTACAGTAATATTATTCCTTGGATTTAAATATTTCCTGCAGCTTCACCCAAATTTGTGCTTCCCAGATGCACTGGATTAGTTTCCCTCATCCTCATTAGCAGTCTCATTTTGGAGTTGATAGGAATTATAGTTCAATACATTCAGAAAATTCCAATTTCAGATCAAATTTGTCCTTCTAGTGAGTAAATATTAACTAATAATCCTGAATTTCTCTTGACATCTCCTTGTCTAATAGGCTGAAGCCATCCATGTTAACCCACTTTATATATTGATACCAACAACCCTCTGTACATCATTTGCATTTTTGCTACCAGTAGCAAACCCACCCAATGCCATTGTATTTTCTTATGGTCACCTGAAAGTTATTGATATGGTAAGTGAACAGTAAGAAAAGAATAATTTGTGAACTTTTTTCAAATGTTAACAATATTGAGAATCCTAGAGAAAGTGTAATGATATCTATTATATATGTTGATGGTGTTGGCATCAAAGAAACTTTAATTCTCAAGAGGTCATAAATGTCCCTCCTATCCTTCACAATTATCATCCAGTTTCCAATATTCCAATATTGTGGGGAAAGTTGTAGAAAAGGTGGTTAGATGGCAGCTACAGGAGGTGTTGGAAGATATAGATTATCTGGACAGTTTTGGTCAAATTTTCATTTGTCAATGGCCTTTGACAGAAACTGGATATAATGGTGAATCGTCCTTGTGCTGTGCAATGTGTTAGCAGCTTTTGATGCAGTTGACAGTGGTGAATTACTGCAATGTACTGCTAGATGAGCTGCCCTTGAAGACCATCCAGAAGCTGTAGCTAGCCCCAAATAAAGTGATGTGTGTCATAACAGACAGTTCTTATTACTCCTATGTGATATCACTGGTAAGTGAACTGAACTGGCTATCAGTTGTTTTCCAGCTTCTAAGTTGTTACCCGGAAAGCCCTGTAGAACCACCCATTTTGATAATTTTTGCCTGCCCAGTACATTCAGGCAAAAGTGGTTGTGCTCCAGGTCCCCTCAATTAAATGCTGTTATCTTAAGGGACCAAAGAAGGATTCTGTTCTGCTGCCACTACCTTTTGGTACACCAGTCTCCAAAGATACATTCTCTGAGGGTTCTTTAGACCTGGCTTTGGTCCTAGACCAAATGTGCTAGTAGAGACCCTGTCAGATGTGTTTATTGTTGTGGTTCTTTTTTCCAGGCTGTTATGCTGTGGGATATGTTTTTAATAGTTTTAAATTTTATATTTGATGTTGCAATCTGACCAGTTTTTGGGAATCATCATTATCACCAGTACTTAACATAACTTTTATAGTAACAGGCAGGTTGCTCAAACATAGTTTTATTTATTTTGATTTGTCAATTGCTTACAAGATAATAGGTATTAAGTATAAACATAATTATGAAAACATGAAATGGATACATATAAGAAAAATAAAAAGAAACAATAGGACAGGGACGGTAGACACATTGGTGCTCTTATGCACCCCCCCCCCCTTAGGAAAGGGGTGAGGTCAATTGTCTAAGGTTAAAGTTTTTGGGGTTTGGGAAGAAACTACAGAGACAGGTAGAGTCTTCCAGACATTGACCACTCTGTTGCTGAAGTCGTATTTCCTGCAATCAAGTTTGGTGTGATTAACTACGAGTTTGTATCTATTGTTTGCTCTTGTATTGTTATGGTAGAAGCTGAAGTATTCACTGACAGGTAGGACAATGCAATGTATGATTTTATATACTATACTTAGATTGGACCGAAGGCGGAGTAGTTCTAGGTTTTCTAGGTCTTGAATTTCAAGTCTGGTGGCATAAGGTATTCTGCAACGAGTAGAGGAATGGAAAACTCTTCTTGTGAAATATTTCTGGACTTTCTCAATTGTGTTGATATCAGATACATAATGTGGGTTCCAGACTGATGAGCTGTATTCGAGTATTGGTCTAGCAAATGTTTTATATGCTCTAGTTAGTAGTGTGATATTACCAGAGAAAAAGCTATGTAGGATTAGGTTAACATGTCTTAATGCCTTTTTGGCTATGAAGTTACAGTGGGCTCTAGCACTTAGATCATTAGAGATAAGTACTCAAAGGTTCTTGACAGAGTTTGGATCATCAACAAGCTGACTATTCAGCTTGTATTTTATTTTCTGATTTTTTTTGCCAATATGTAAGACAGAGCATTTATTTGTTGAGATTTGAATTTGCCATTTGTTTGACCATTCTGATACATAGTCAAAGTCCTTTTGAAGGGTAGCAGTATTGTCTGTGGTGTTCAACATCAACAGCAAAGAGAACGCAATTGCTCTTAATATGATCACAGAGGTCATTTATGTAGAGTATGAAGAGAGTTGGTCCTAGAACACTACCTTGGGGGACACCACTGTTGACAGGTACAGAATTTGATAGGATGCTCCCAATTTTGACCATTTGTTGTCTGTTTGACAGGAATGCTTCTATCCAGTTATGCAGGTGTCCAGAGATACCATAAGTTTTTAGTTTTAGGAGTAGTTTGTCGTGTACCACTGAATCAAAGGCTTTACAGAAGTCTATGTAGATTGCGTCTATTGCTTTGCCCTGATCAAGTTGTGTAGTCCATATGTTTTTGCAGTGTAAGAGTTGCAGATTACAGGATAGTTTTTTTCTGAAACTAAGTTGTTTATTGGAGAGTAGGTTGTTTGTCTCTAAGTGGAGGATAATGGATTGGTTAATAATTGATTCCATGACTTTACAGGTGACGCAGCATAAAGAGATTGGTCTGGAATTTTCAACTAGGCTGGGGTCTCCCTTTTTGAAGATGGGGATGACCATGACTTGCAACCATAGTTTTGGCAAGGAGCTGGTCCTGAAAGATTTTTCAAAGATTATGCTTAGAGGTTCAGCTATGGCAGTGGATAGCTTTTTTAAGAAGTAGGCACATATTCCGTCTGGTCCAATAGATAGAGATGGTTTTAGATTGCATAGTGCTTTTTCAACATTGTTGAAAAATACCATAGGTTGTGCAGAACTTGTCATAGTCTGTGATTTAGCTTTGGAAATCTGAAGAAGTAGACAAAGCATTTATAGGAGTCAGGTAATTCACTTGTTCTCTAAATCATTATTCATGATGTCTGGTAAGCTGTATCTAGCAGGTGGGACTTACGTGAAAGAGTTAAAAACTCTTCATGTATGATATTTAGAGACAGACTTTGAAAGAGATTGTGCTGTGACCTTTCTTGACAAGATTCTTCCTGGAGCCAGAGCTTTTAGATAATTTCTACCCTGTTGGAAATATTCTTTTTAGAAGAGAGACAACCATCTATAGATGTTATTTGGGAAAAATCTCATCTTCTAGAACTATTTAGTGCGGTTTCAAGTTTAGAGAAAAAACTAAAATAATTTTGGTTGTTTAGACTGATACTTTCAATCAGACTATGTGGATTAAAAGGAACTTCTCAACAATATTTGAAAAGACAAACCAAGGGATTTCTCTGGAGAGGGTTGGAAACTTGCGACAGTTCGTTACAATCATTTTATTTCTATACAACCACACAGTATACATTGTAAAATCCATAGGGCTCCATTCTTTCTCCCTATATCCTGCCTCTATAAGGAGCCCAGTGGTACTCATTCAAAGGTCTGAAATGCAGTATTATCAAGGTGCCAACAAGAAACGTCCCTGGCCAGAAGAGCCTATCTACTTTAGTATTAAAATATACCACATCAGTTTTCATCTGGTGACCCATATCATATCATCCAGCAATGAAATCTAAAAATGAGGAAATAAGTGTTTAGAAATTAGATGGAGGAAATAATGAGCAGTGCTCTATTGACTGTTCTGATTCAAAATTTAGCGCTATCCATGCGTACATAATAGTTTTTAATCATTATTATTTCACTTCTCTTAAATTTTTGCAACTTTGTTCTAGAAAAATTGGTCTTCCTATTAACTTTCCATTTGCTTAATATATCCCTTCTTTAGGTAAAAGCTGGACTTGGTATAAACATCATTGGAGTTGCTGTTGTGATGCTCGCCATTATGACATGGGCACAGCCAATGTTCAACCTCTCTACATATCCACCGTGGGCACCTGCGCCTTCTGCTACTAATATCAGTGTACATTAAAGGAAGAAGAGCATGTTGCTTTCCTTCTTTCTCCCAGTGATGGTGCTAGTTGATAGATTTGTATGGCACAATACAGTTATGATCTAGGATAAGTTGCGCTTCATAGTTCCTTGTCCTAAGTACTGGTACCAGTTATCTGGAAAGCCATAAAACAAGAATGTTACAACCTGAATAATGCACAGAAAGTAAGTCTGTACAAATGATCAGTCAATTCTTCCTGTTAAGACTGTATCACCAGAGCTAGAAAATGGCATTTGTACATTATGCACATTCATTATGAATGATAATTTGTCCTTGTTTTGGGATCACAAAATAAAATAGTATGATTGTTAGAAGAATGATAGAAGAACTATACATGGGCAGACAGATAGACAGACTAACGGATGAGAAACAAATTTAATTTATTAGTCAGTAAGTCTCTTTGTCTCATCTTCTTCCAAGATGCTGACACTTTATGTATTCATAGGATATATTTCATACTATCAACTAACACTCCCCCCATGAGCTTTCTTCCCCAATGATGACATTCATTGGCTAAAGGGGAAAAAATCCCAAACAAGTAATGAAAGCTTTAGAAATTCAACCTATCGTGCTATGGATGTAATACGACAGATATAGCATGCCAGACATGGCAGCTGGGATAATTTATATTGAGAGGTTCATACCGCTCCACACTATGTTCATTATTTGATATATCAAAAAAACATTTATTCTGAGGTTGAAACTCCATACTTTAATTAAAATTAGAAAAGTTCACTAAATCATATGGATTTGATATAACCAATTGCTTATGAAAAATACATCTCAGCCAATTCTTAGTGTTTTATTTTTTGAACTAAAAATTTAAGCACCTTTTTCATTAATAAAACTCATCCTCAGTCAATCATGATTTCTCATGATTCCATGGACATGTCCATGCAGTTGTCTTGGCAATAGCACCAAAAGTTTTTCCCATTACAGTAGAACCTCTGGTCACGAACGCTTCTGACCATGACCAAACCAGGTTCTGACCAAAATACTCATATTTTTTTTTTCTTTTCATGGCCGATTTTCCCTTTCACACCATATTTTTTGTAAGCGCCAAATTTCCAAAATTAGGTTCGGATCACGACCAAATTGGGTTGCGACCAAAGTTATGGAACGAATTATGGTCATGACCAAAGGTTCTACTGTATCAGTGTTTCTTCCAGAAACTTGAATGTTGGGGATTTTTTTTACCAGCCTAGAGCTCTGGGGTCTCTGGTGAATTTTCCATCCAACTACTAGCCAGTCACAATTATTCTTATTGCCTTATATTCCAATTGCACTATGTAGGTCCATTTTAATTAAAACAATCATGGAAGAATTACAATTGTAATTTTGGTTAAAAATCTAGTTATGAATGACTGCTATCAAAATTCATGGTAGTTTTTTTTTAACTTTATAGAAACATGATAATGCTAAATAGAATCTTTATAACTGTTAAAGAAAATTATATTGCGTTCATCCATCTCTTAGTCATGCATGCTAAACATTCCTTTAAAAGAAGATGGCATAACATTTTTTAATATATTTATTTTGAGCTTTTGTACTAAAAGATATCTTTCTTTTAAACTAAATGTGTTGTTGAATATTTATGTATTACCAATGTTAAGCACTGTAAATAAAATATACTGTGCAATTACTTCACAAGAGCATCATATAACCCTAATTTGTTTATATTACAAACATAAACAGTGTAACTGGTTTTAAAATAGAAACTTATTATTGCAGAAGAACAGTTCTCAGCCTTGGCAGATTATCACCACTTGTTCCCAAAAGGAAACATATTTAGGAATATACAAAGGTTTCAAAGTTGAAATGTTCCAGCCAGAAATTATCTGCAGATAGGGAACTAGTTCTGGCCACTTTAGGGTTCAGGTGGCTATACCAATTCATGAGCTTACCAGTTTACTTCAGGAAATTTCTTAATGTATGAGAACATGTCCTACTACTGTGTGCATGTTTTTCTTGTTTTCTTTTTCCCTGTTCAGCCAAATACCTCCCACGTAGCACAGCCATGACTCCAAATTTTAACAGACTATCTAACAAAATAAAATTCAATGGTTAAAAAAAGGTAAGGTTCTATCTTTAGACAAGAAAAACCAAATGCACAGGTATAGTATAGGTGATACCTGGCCTCAATAGTAGTAACTGTGAGAGGGGTCTCGGAGTCCTAGTGGACAACCACTTAAATATGAACCAGGAATGTGCAGCAGCTGCCAAAAAAAAGCCAATACAATCCTAGGCTGCATAAACTGAGGAATAGAATCAAGATCACGTGAAATGTCAATACCACTTTTATAATGCCTTGGTAAGGCCGCACTTGGAATGCTGCATCCAGTTTCGGTTGGCCACAATGCAGAAAAGATGTTGAGACTCTAGAGAGAGGGCATAGAAGAGCAGCAAAGATGATTAGGCTAAAAAAAGAAAGAACGGTTACTGGAATTGAGTATATCTAGTTTAATAAAAAGAAGGACTGGGATGATAGCAGTGTTCCGATATCTCAGGGGCTGCCACAAAGAAGAGAGAGTCAAGCTATTCTACAGAGCACCAGAGGGAAGGACAAGAAGCAATGGGTGGAAACTAATCAAGGAGAGAAGCAACTTAGAACTAAGGAGAAATTTCCTAACAGTTAGAACAATTAACCAGTGGCACAACTTGCCTCCAGAAGTTGTGAATGCTCCAACACTGGAAGTTTTTAAGAAGAGATTGGACAGCCACTTGTCTGAAGTGGTGTAGGGTTTCCCGCCTAAGCAGAGGGTTGGACTGGAAGACCTCCAAAGTCCCTTCCACCTCTGTTATTCTGTTCTGTTTAACGCACAATCTACATTCAGTAATTAGCTGGCTACATTTCAGTTTTTATACAGAATTCAAAAACTGTGTGACCTGCCAGAGGAGTTAATGCACATGTTTTCTTTAATAAATGGAGCAATTTTTGACTAACTTTTCTTCAGTGATTTATTTAATTATCATTGTACCCAATGTATGTCTTGGAGACCCAAAACTTAAAAAAAAAAAACCCATAGAATTTCTACACCAAGAAAAATTGTCCATCATTATGTATCCATTAATGTTACTCCAGAAGCAGGAATCTGAATATTATAGTTACTGCTACATAAGCAGTGATTACTAGTGGCTTCAAGGCAAATTTAAGTCATGTAAACAAATGAAATGTAGGAGTTAAAAAACATTATTATGAAACAAAAACTGGTGGGTGGATGAATTTATTTTATTTATTAATTTATAAATTGTTTCTGTCAAAAGATTCTAAGCATACAAGAGCAAATGCAGACCAGTACAGGAACAAAAGCAAATCCCACGTAACAATTGAAAAAAATACGATAATAGAAAATAAAACCTAACATATCATAAGACAGGTAATTACTGTTTAATAACATTTTTGTTCTCTGGAGTACCTGAATACACTGAAATATCTTCTGGAACTGCAAGGCTTACATGAGTATGGGATCTGCCAAGCTGCTCCAGAAGAGGAAACGTCTATATTATCAAGCCCCCTCTCATTGCAGCCTTCAGCAGGCATTTAGCTTAGTTTAGAGCTGGGGTGGTGCAGTGATTAGAGCGCAGTACTGTAGGCTACTTCTGCTGGGCTGCCAGCTGACTGTAGTTTGGCAGTTTAAAACTCACCAGGCTCAAGGTTGACTCAGCCTTCCATCCTTCTGAGGTTGGTAAAATGAGGACCCAGGTAGTTGGGGGTAATATGCTGACTGTAAACTGCTTAGAGAAGCTGTAAAGCATTGCAAAGCAGTATATAAGTCTAAGTGCTATTACTAGTGCTATTAAGTCTACTTGAAAGTGGACAATACAAATCACGTAGCAGAAGTATCAAGACTGCCCAATAAGCATATAGTCTCCTGTTCTCCATACTAATTAAAATTTCCAGGGCATGGTTTCAATGGTCCCACATAAAATAATTTTCAGCAATCCATACAAGAGATGACAAGAGTGAGAAGGACTACCTTCAGTGTCCTCTGTTCTGCCTACAGCTGCAATTGGTGCCCAGGCAGAGTTGGGCCAAAGTTCTCTTGGACAATAGTCTCCCTCAACTCACTTTTCCTGCAGGAGATGTGAGCCCAGAATGACATCCAAATTACAGGACAAAACTGAATTGTTGTTTGCTCCTCCCCATCAGATCCTAAATGGCTCCAAACTCAAGAAAGTATGTGCGCTTCTACCTACATAAAGAACAACTTATTGTGAGTGGAAAAAGAAGAAGAAATCTGATTGTGTAAAAAGTCTTAACATGTTGTTCTATAAGTGCTAAGTTTAATATGCGAGAAATGACTTGGTGCTACGTTGTTTTTTTATTTTGTCTAAGTGGTCTAACTATTGAAAAGTGACTGCTTTCCACTTGCCTCCTTATCCAACACACTCTGAGCCATCATTAGCTCAACAGGAAAACCTAGTGATCAGAAAGTGAAATAATAAACAATTTTTTTAAAAGGTCTCCCTAGCTAGATTTGACAGAATGAAGTGTCTGCAACCCACATACTTACTTGCAAATGTCTAGAACAGTTTTCTCACTTTTTATATTTTAATAAGAAGAATGTCTATCCTGGCACCTTTTAGGCAGATCGTGAAAATGTCACATTCAAAAAGATTTGTTTTCATAGTGGAACTCTTATTTAGATTTACCACCTGACGAAATCGGTGACTTCTACAAAGCCACTATACTGAAGAGTAACATGTTGTGAAAGAGCAGAAGTGTACTTGAATATTTACACTTGATATTTCTCTTGGCCTCCGACTCAACTCAACAGAAAGTGAGGCTTAATCTAAATCTTTAATTTCCTTTTTAATTTTTATCCCTTGCCCCAGTGGTGGGCTTCAATTTTTTTTTACTACAGGTTCTGTGGGTGTGGCTTGATGGGCGTGGCTAGGTGGGTGTGGCCATGTGGCTGGATGGGCATGGCTTTTTTTTTACAGCCCCCCCCCCATTTTTTGAGCCTTCTGGGCCTCAGGCAAGCCCCCCGAGGGGCATTTTTGCTTTCAGAAGGCTCCGCTGGGGCTCAGGAACAAAAAAAATGAAGCACAGGAGGGGCACACAGCAAACCCCACCTTGCTCCATTTTTGGGCCTTCCTGGCCTCAGAAAGGAGCCTCTGGGGGGTGTTTTTACTCCCAGAAGGTCCCCCTGGGACTCAGGAAGAAAAAAAGCGGAGCCTGGAGGAGGCACACAACCACCCTCCTCACTCCGTTTTGGAGCCTTCTGGGCCTCAGGCAACCCTCCTGGGGGGCATTTTTGTTCCCAAAAGGCTCTGGAAGGCAAAAAATGGAAGGGGAGGCTGAGCCCCTCATTCCATTTTGTGCCTTCCTGGGGCTCAGCAACGGGAATCCCGGCGCAGCTGATGTATGAACAGCTGATTGTTGTGAGGGGAAAAAAAGAAATACCTGAAGGGCCGAGCGCCGGGTGGGTGGGGCGAGAGAGCATCGGGCAGGCAGGGCAAGCGAGCCAGCAGCAA